ATCCCAGACCATCCACTCTTCCATCCCCCACATCTCGTGGAAAAAGGGAGGAGAAACTCCAAGGCATGACAAGGCAGATCAGAGTGGGAGGGTGGTGGCGTTAAGGCTCCATGAAACAAGTGGAATCAAGCCTTGACCCAAATGCACAAACAGGCAAAATGAATCATAAAACTAAGATAAATCTCTAGTAATGTTATTTGAATGTTAGAAAGAACTCATGTGAGGTCGCTGATTCATTTCAGTGTGCTTCCTTCCCTGGTCTACATTCAGTCGATTCATGCTGTGTTGACCTGGGGTCAGTCGTTTGTTGGTGATCTGTTTTGAGTATTGCTCTTATCAGGACTCTTGTGTAATGGCAGTTCTGCTCCAATCAGCTCATCTGAGGGAGTCAAGAGTCTTGATTCTCAAAAGGAGCTGAACAAACACTTCAAAAGAGATTCAAAATGTTCCCCAAATTTTCACGCAAAGAAAGAAGGCGTAACTTTTATTCTCGCTGTAGTATTGTTGCTGCCGTCATGTCGTGAAGGCGCTGTGTGTTTCGTTGTGAAAGCGAAACTACTTTGTTTGGCCTTCCAAAAGAGGACACGACTAGAAATCAGTGGTTAAGTTGTATTTACAACACTGTTCCAGAACAGTACAACCCAAATATTCAGATGTGTCCAGCACATTTTATGGAGGACTGTTTCCTGATCCTGGTAGAGTAGACTACAATGCCGGCTGTTCTGACTCACAGCCTGTAAGTACGTTTTTTTATATTTAAATAATTTGCCACTGACGATTCAAACGCGAGTTTTGAGCAGTGTAGAGTAGCACTTGTTGTTTGTCATTTCTCCGATCACAAATGCAGACATGGTTTTGTTTACGCGGCGCGATGCAACGCAACACGTAAAAAGACAGTATAAGTCATTATAATCTGTAATTATGTCCCCACTGGATGCAACAAATGCCTCGTTTATAATGGGTTTTAATGTTTTTGAATCGTCGCTCCGGCCGGACAGGGAATCACAATATGGTAAGGGGCTTTAACATTTCCGTCACACGCTTGAGGTATTCGGCCAATCACAACACACTGGATAGCTGGCCAATCAGAGCACACCTCGCTTTTCAGACCGATGAGCTTTGTAAAAATCGATGCGTTTCAGAAAGGCGGGGCATAGAGGAGAAACAATAATGTACAATATGTGGAAAATAATGTGTTTTTTTAACCTTAAACCACATAAACACATTTCATTACACCAAATACACAAAATAATGTTCTTTTTAGCAACATCATATGACCCCTTTAAGTAAATGGGTCAAAAAATAAAACAAAACAAAAAAATATCCAAAATCAAAAGAAAAAATTCTAAATTTGTATTATTACCTCTCTTTTGCACATGCAGCGCTGTAGTGATGTCTGACTTGTGAATCATTTGCGCCGATTCTATTGAATGATTCAACTGATTTGAAAACTGTTTGTAGCCTATTTCACTTTTTCATTTGAAAATAGTTTTGCTTGAAAATAAAACCTAATGAGGGACCATTCCATAATAATATTTAATTGACAATTAAGCACATTTTCACCCAATTCTGATTATATCAATGTAGAAAAAAAACGTCTTATTACTGTAATGTAAAAAAAAAAAAATCTATATTTAAATGTGATTGTTTATCATGATATCACATATATAAAGAATTGTCATATTATTATATTAACAATCATGGAAACTAAAAAAGTAACTTTATAGTCTTAAAATAGTCATTAAAATATTTTTTTCCTATGTTTTTCCTCTAGATTTTGTTGTGAAATGTGACCTGGACATGTTTTCTCAGGATTCATTCAAACCACTGTGTTAAAATTTGAATAACAAAACCTTGAAAAATGAAATCTTATGTGCAGCATAACAACAAGTGAAGGTTTGTGTGTAATAGTGTGTGTGTGTGTGTGTGAGAGAGAGAGAGAGAGAGAGAGAGAGAGAGA